CACACACACACATCATTTGACAAATTTCTCCAATATAATTGATCATGAGAACAAATATTGGCTTTGGGAAAACAGAAAAATGAGGTTCATAAGCACTCAATACAGAAGCTCAGACCAACAATTAGCACAAACAACACTGGGTGTGAAGAGAACAGTCACAAGGTGCCATGCAACATGCAAAAATAATGGCATGCAATCCACTTTTTTTAATCACATATAACGCGGGAGTTTGCCCGGGCGTTGGGGTGAGCGCCTCCGGCGAGGAGCGCATCCACCGTGGCCCTCCGGCCTCCCTCGGAGGCCTTGTGCAGTGGAAGGGAATCTGTGAAGGAAGAGTTGATTCCGCGGTTGCACTGCACTTGCGTGCGTGTGTGCATGTGTGTGTGTGTGTTTATGTGTGTGATGTAATTGTGTGTGTTTGTCTGTGTGTGTGTGTGTTTGTGTATTTATTTGTGTGTGTGTGTGTGTGGGTGTTAATGTAAACGTGTGTGTGTGTGTGTGAGCGTGTGTTTGTGTGTATGTGTGTGTTTGTGTTTGTGTGTATGTGTGGATGTGTATGTGTGTGTGAGCGTGTGTGTTTGTGTTTGTGTGTATGTGTGCATGTGTATGTGTGTGTGTGAATGTGAGCATGTGTGTGTATGTGTGAATGTCTATATGTGTTTGTGTGTGTGTGAATGTGAGCGTGAGTGTGTTTGTGTGTTATTGTGCATGTGTGTTTGGGTGTGTGTGCGTGTGTGTTTGTGCATGTGTGTTTGTCTGTGTGCATGTGTTTCTGTGGTTGTGTTTGTACACGTACACACACATATATGACATATATATACATACATATATATATATAAATATATATATATATATATATATATTTATATACATACATACATATATATATATATATATATATATATATATATATATATATATGTGCGTGTGTGTGTATTTGTGTATACATACATATACATATATATATATATATATATATATATATATATATATATATATATATACATATACATATATAATTATATGCGTATATATATATATGTAATATATACATGCATACATATATATATATATATATATATATATATATATATATATATATATATATATATATATATATATATATATATATATTTATATATACATACATATATATGTATATATATATATATACATATATACATATATATGTATATGTATATATATATATATTATATATATATATATATATATATATATATATATATATATATATGATATACATATATATGCATATATATATAAATATATATATATATATAATTATAATTAATTATGTATATGCAATACATATGTGTATATATTTATACATATATACATATATATATATATATATATATATATATATATATATAGATAGATATTTATATATATAGATAGATATTTATGTATATATATGCATATATATATACATATATATATACATATATATATATATATATATATATATACATATATATATATATATATACATATATATGTATATTTGTATATACATATATATACATATATATAAATATATATATATATATATATATATATATATATATATATATATAAACATACTTGTTTATATATATGTACATATGTATATGAAAATATATATATATATATATATATATATATATATATATATATATATGAGTTGATATCTACACGTACATATATAAATATTTATATATATATTATATATATATTTATATATATTAGATAGATAGATAAATGAATAGATATATTTACAGATATATATAGATATTTATATATGTAAATATATATACATATATATAGATATAGATATAAGTAAATATATACATATATTTATAAATATATATATACATACATATACATATATGTACGTATATATATGTATACATATATATATAAATATATATATATTTAATCAGGGGCGTCACTTCATGTTATGAGTTGGGGGGGTGACGGGCAAATTTGCCCTGAAAAAAAAATTTTTGCCCTGCAAATCACGAAAAAGAAAATGCTCACTAGCTCTTTATAAGTAGCCCGGAATGGACTATCGACCAGTATTTACAAATGATAAATGAACAAAACAACAAAACACGTAAAAACTTAACCAGAAACACAAACAAAAAACAAGATATCTAAACTCAGTGAAGCAATGATTTTTTTTTTGATTGCGTGCTTCACTGAAACTCAATTGAAACAATAAAAAAATAGACACTTTGCGCCAGAAAATTTTATAAATCAAGTATCATCAACAATTTGTTTCATATAGTTATTTATATATCTTGAATACTTATCGGCTACTGAGGCAGATTCCGTAAGAGAAAAATTGCCCTGCAGAACTAAATTTTGCCCTGCAAAAAATGGCTTTTAAAAATATTGGGGGGTATATATACATATATACATAAATACACATATATATATAAAGACACACATACATATATATGTGTAGGGATATATATATTTATATATATATATATTTATATGTATATATAAAGACACACAAAAACAAATACACACACACATATATATATAAATATATATATATATATATATATATATATAAATATATATATATATCCATATATGTATATATAGATGTGTATATATATATATATATGGATATATGTATTAACATAAATATATATGGATATATATATATGTATGTATATATATGTATGTATATATATGTATGTATGTATATATATCTATTTATCTATATACATATATTCATATCTATATCTCTCTCTCTCTCTCTATATATATATGTGTGCATCCATATATATATGTATACATATGTATACATATATATATATATATATATATATATATATATATATATGTGTGTGTGTGTGTGTGTGTGTGTATATATATATATATATGTGTGTGTGTGTGTGTGTATATATATATTTGTGTATATATAAATGAATATATACATACACTTATATATGGATATATATATAAATATATATATATGTATTTATATATACATATACTTTGATATATATGTATATATAAATAAATTGATATATACATACATACTAAATATATGTAAATATGTATATATAAACATATATATATATATTGTGTATATATATATGTATATATACATATACATATACATATATTTACACATACACATACATATGTCTATGTAGGATATATATATGGATATATATAGATAGATATATATCCTTTAATACTTTAATATATATGTATACATAAATAAATTTATATATACATATATACTAAATATATGTAAATATGTATATATAACCATATATATATAGTGTATATATATATATAGTATATATAGTATATATAGTATATATATATATGTGTGTATATATAAATACACATACATATGTATATACATATACATATATTTACACATAAACACACATATGTATATGTAGTAAATATATATATATATATGGATATATATATAGATAGATATATATCCATATATAAATTTATATACATATATATGTATATATATATCTGTAAATATAAATGTACACGCACCAACAGACACAGACACACATTTACATACATACATATATGCATATATATATATATATATATATATATATATATATATATATATATTTACATATATATACATACATATATATATATACAGTATATACATACACACACACACATATATGTATGTATGTATGTTTATATATGTATTCATATATAAATATATATACATATATATATATATATATATATATATATATATATATATATATATAAATTTATATGTACACGCACAAACAGACCCACACATACACATAATATGTATTCATATACATATTTATATGTGGGATATATTTATGTATATATATATATACAGTATATATATATAAATATATATATATATATAAATATATATATATATACATATATATATACATATATATATATATATATATATATATATATATATATATATACATATATTCATACACACATAATATGTATTCAATGACATATTTATATGTGGGATATATATATATGTATGTATATATTTATATGTATATACAAATAAATATACATATATATAGACACATATATATAGACACATATATATGGATATTTATATATATGTATGTATATATATGGATATTTATATATATGTATGTATATATATGTATATACATATACATATATACATATATATTTACATATATAAATAATATATATATATATAAATATATATATACATATACATATATTTATACACACACAAACATATATATACATATATGTAGGATATATATGTGTATATATAGATATATATATATATATATGTATATGTATATATATATATATATATATATATATATATATATATATATATATATATATATATATATATATATATAAATGCATAAATGAATATATCCATATGTAAATTTATATATAAATATTATATATATATATATATATATATATATATATATATATATGCATATATATAAATATGTATGCACAAACACACAGACACACACACATACACACACAAACACATATATATGTATATATATAATATAAATATGTATATAATATATATGTATGTGATACATATATTATATATACATAATATATCAAATTTATTTCATATATATACATATACATATACATATTTATATGTGAGGGATATATATACATACACATAGAAACACACACACACACACACATATACATTTAGATAGATTGATTCATATTCATGTATGTGTTTGTGGTGTGTGTGTGTAGCAGTATATAAATATTATTATATATGTAGACAGAGAGATAGGTAGATATTCATGTGTGTTTGAGTGAGTGAGCGTGTTTGTTTACCTAAGCGTGTTCTTTTCCTGCGCGTCTGGCTGTAAGTCTGAATGAATTTCATGACATCAGTGAACGTCCCATGAATGACCTCTCTGAAGTGTTGCTCTCTTATGCTTACTTTTGAAATTTCTTATGCTTACCTTTGAAGAACTGGGCGCGGGCGTGAGGGGAGAGGGCGGCGAGGGCGGCCCGTAGTCCCTCTGCGTCGTCGGCGTCGACCAGAGCAATCTGAAAGGGAAGGCGACTCGGTCTTCATCGGTAGCGGACTTCGGGGCACCAGACACGCGTGCTCTCATGGCACAGCAGTTGAGGATGCCAGGGCAGCACAGGAAGGGAGGAACCATATGCATCATGGGGATGAGGGTGGTGGTGATGGGGGGGAGGGAGGGGATGGGGAGGAAGATGGTGATTCACCAACTCCTCTCGCTCTGTCTCTCTGTGTCTCTCTCTCCTTTACACCACCGCCCCATCCACTACACTACTGCCCCATCCACTACACTACTGCCCCATCTACTACACTACTGCTCCATCCACTACACTACTGCCTCATCCACTATACCACTGCCCCATCCACTACACCACCGCCCCATCCACTACACTACTGCCCCATCCACTACACTACTGCCCCATCCACCACACTACTGCCCCATCCACTACACTACTGCCTCATCCACTACACTACTGCCCCATCCACCACACTACTGCCCCATCCACTACACTACTGCCCCATCCACCACACTACTGCCCCATCCACTACACTACTGCTCCATCCACTACATTACTGTCCCATCCACTACACCACTGCCCCATCCACTACACCACTGCCCCATCCACTACACCACTGCCCCATCCACTACACCACTGCCCCATCCACTACACTACTGCCCCATCCACTACACCACTGCCCCATCCACTACACCACTACCCCATCCACTACACTACTGCCTCATCCACTATACCACTGCCCCATCCACAACCCCACTGCCCCATCCACTACACTACTGTCCCATCCACTACACCACTGCCCCATCCACAACACTACTGCCTCATCCACTACACCACTGCCCCATCCACTACACTACTGCCTCCTCCACTACACCACTGCCCCATCCACTACACTACTGCCCCATCCACTACACTACTGCCCCATCCACTACACTACTGCTCCATCCATTACACTACTGCCTCATCCACTACACTACTGCCCCATCCATTACACTACTGCCTCATCCACTACACTACTGCCCCATCCACTACACCACTGCCCCATCCACTACACCACTGTCCCATTCACTACACCACTGTCCCATCCACTACACTACTGCCCCATCCACTACACCTCTGCCCCATCCACTACACCACTGTCCCATCCACTACACCACTGCCTCATCCACTACACCACTGCCCCATCCACAACCCCACTGCCCCATCCACTACACCAATGCCCTGCTCACCTTTCCCGTGTTATGTGTTATGAGTAGGTTGTGTGCACGAGAGTATTTATGTGTGTACACTTTATGTCTATGAATGAGTGTGCGTATATGTGTAAGTGTACATGTGCATGTGCTTTTATGTGAGCACTTGTGAGTGCATGTATGCTGGTATGCGTTCGTGTAAAGATGAAATCATTTGCATATGTATATACGTGTATCTGTATACACGTAGATGTGTGTGATACATTTACGTACACATGTGTGTGTGTTATTAGTACATGTAATTATTGTATGCATGTGTACATTTACAGTATATATGCGTGTACGTGTGTGTGTGCTTGTATGCGTGTGTGTGGGTGCTTGTGTGCGGGTATGTGTGTGTACATGTCTATGTGCGAGTATGTGTGCATGTACATGTATGTGTGATTGTACTTGTGTGTGTGTGTATGTATGCATATAGTGCGTGTCCGCATCTGTGTGCATATACATGTATGTATATGTGTCCACAGATGCTGTAGCTTTGCTGGATTAGATGATAATATGGACAGAATTAAGAAATAAAAAACTAGTGGTAATATGCAAAGAATTAAGAAATAACTAGTGTTATTGCCGGGGCAGGATACGCTTCCATTGGTACTCCGCGAGTCGGCGACACAGGGCTTGGGGAGGAGGGGACGCAGCCCCGTGCGAGGAGCAGGCGTGTCACGAGCCCCGGCCCAGCCGTTCTCTCATCTCCTTTGCACACTTTTCGTTAAAAATGATTCATATATACTAAAAACAGATAAAGATATTAAAGGGGGTACTCTAAGGTGCAAAGGAATCACTGGTGCAGGTGTACTATTGTCTACTCGGAGCGGTGGCTGATAAGAAGATAGTGCGTTTTATCTCTCTCCTCCCTCCCCCCTTTCTCTTCTTTCCCCCTGCCAAACTCAATTTCTATCCTCCTTTCATCTCTCTCTTTCGTTCCTTTTGGCTCCCACTCCCATCCCCCGTCTCTCTCTCTCTATTTCCCTTTCCTCTCTCTTTTCTCTCACTCCCGCCCCGTCTCTCTTTTACTCTCCCTCTCTCTGTCGCTTTCTCGCCAATCCTTCCCTCTCTCCTTCACTCCCTCCCTCCCTCTGCCTTTGCACCCCTCCGCACGCCCTCCCTTACAGATACTTATGATAAGTCTTCTCATCCTGCTTACGAATTTACGAATGCTGTTGTTCGCCCGTCGAATGCATCATTCATAAGCCCAGGAACAGGATCGTTTCGGTGATGTTTGCATCAATCGATCTAAATCTACAGTTAAAAACCTTTTGATGAAAAGGCTCCCTGGTTTTGTGTTAAGTGTATTGACAGAACGATTGACAGAAAAAATTTTTTTCTCTCTATTTCTCTTGCTCACTTTCTCTCCCTGTCTTGCTTTCTCTTTTTTCCCTCGCAAAACTCTCTATCTTTCTCTTTGACTTTTTTTTTTTCTTTTTATTGCTCCCTCTCCCTCTCACAGTATCATTCTTTCCATCATCTCTCTAACCCTCCCCTTAATCTTTATCCCTCGCACCAACTCTCCTCTCCTTAAATGTTTTTCCTTTCTTCGCACCAAAACTCTCCCTCACTCCCTCTATCCCCAATTCTCTCATCGTCTTTCGCCCTCCCTTCCCTCCATCTTTTTCTCCCTCTCTTTCCCTCCATTTCCCTGGTTCTCTCTTCGCCACGTGATGACTTTGTTTACATCAGCACACAGAATCGTGCCAGTGTGGGGAGCTACGGCTGCGGAGCTGCGGAGTTGCTCAGGACAACGCTGATGCACAGACAAAAGAGGGAGGAAAGGACCACCCAAAGGACGTTAACTGTTTACGGCAACACCGAAGCGTCATATAAGCGGCGATATCTTGGGTTGGTACCATTAGTTTAATTGTACCTGATGGATATACACAGGTACTAGGCTGTTACTCTTACTGACACTATAATGGCTTGTGCAGTTTTCCTCTGAGTTGATATTTTAATAATTCTTCTGAGACCAGGCATTTCACTCCGTGTATTTCAAGTACTGTACATATTTTATCTTTTAACATACCTAAGGTTTTTGTGTGAAATGTGAGCCCACACCCAGGCATTAAGATGAGCATAAGGATAACCTAAGTTACCTCATCCTTTATAATGTAAGAATTTTTTCATTACACTTTAGTCAAAACTCTTTCCTTCCCCATCCCCCTGCCCCTTTTTCTCCTTCCCTTCCTCTATCCCTCCTTTTGCTCGGCCTTTGTATCCCTCCTTACTCCCTCCTTTGGGGTCAGCCGAGATAAGACAATGCTGCAGATACTTATGGAGAAGCCTCATCCTGCTTATATGCCTGTTTGCATTTGTCAGTCTGTTTGAATGTAATTGTCTGTGTCAGTGTACGCTTCTTTGAGTGTGTGTGTTTGCATGGGTATATGTGTGTGGATGTGATTAAGATGTACGTGTTGTTTACCAGGCCGGCAGCTGAAAAAAAGATAAAGCTCACTTCACACAGACGGGGTTCACGTCAGAGAGAAGGAATTCACACCTCACTCGGAAAGAAATCACACATACGTTTGTCTGTGCTTGGCACTATGTGCAAGTGATTATCTGCGTGTGTTTCTGTGATTGCGTTTGTCTTTATATCTATGGGTAGGTTTGTATACGTATTTATGTGTGCATATGTTATGTGTATGCTTGTGTCTCTCTGTGTGTAAGGTATACCTGTTGGCAACTCGGGGCGGCTAATAGAAAGATTTTGCCCCCCCCCCTCTCCCTTTCCCCTACTCTTTCTCTCCCCCCCCCACCTCTATCTCTCTCTATCTCTCTCCCTGTTGACCCCTCTTCTCTTTCTCCATTTCTATCTCCCTGACTCGCTCTGTCTCCGTCTCCCTCTTACAGTTAAAGCAGTGCGTCTATAAAGTGAAATCATCAAAGGGTATCTTTTCATGCAAAGATTATCTGCATATGTTTGCTGCCTTCCCCCTAAATGCATTCCCTGTTGATTTTTTTTTAACTTTTAGACTTAAGCGCTCATATCAAATTGGTTCTTAATACTCCCGTTATAGTGACGTAACTGGAGAGATTAGTAGTTGGCTGCTCATTCTTATCACTGTTATCACTTTACTCTGGCTGTCTGTTCTTAAAACGCTTCCCGAATCAAAGGCAGATTTCGCAAGTGTTTCCGCCAGTAACTAGGACGAATAGAGGACTACCTCTAGAATGTAAGAGGAAATGAGAGCATAAAAGAAAAAGAGAGAATATAAGAAGGAATGTGTGAGAGAGAGAGACAACAGAAGAGAGAGAGGGAAAGAATTATAACAGAGAGAGACAATATGAGAGAATGAGGGAGAGTGAATATAAGAGGGTATGAGAGGGATAGAGAACATAAGAATTAATGAGAATGAGAAAATATAGCTGAGCATAAGAGGGAGAGTGAAAATGAAAGAGCGAGTATGGAAGTGACAGAAAGAGGGTGAAGAGAAAAAAGACACAGAGAGTGAAATCAACAAGGAATCACGTAAGAAATTGATGAATAAATCGAAACCTGGCTATTAAACATACCAATTAAAGGAACCCATCGCTAAGCAAAAGGGAAAATCGAAAGACAACATACTCCATGCCAAAATGACACAAAGAAAAAGTTCCACGTCGCCGACACTGGCCAAAGCTCCCGAGCGAGCTAACGCCTGCACAGCCCGGCCACCTTGATTAGACAGGCAACCCTTTACAAAGTCCAAAGATACTGTAGCTCTGCTGGGCAACATGACATCACAAAAATTCCTGCCACACATCACTGTTCAACCGCGATGG